CCCCAAAACCCCAAAACCCCAAAACCCCTGTAAAATCTGTGAATATGGAAAATATTATAAATGAGTTTGAAAGATGTAGTCATTGTAGGATGTAAAAGAACATCCATTGGCATTTTTATGGGATCATTAGCACCATTTTCCGCTACTAATTTAGGCTCTATCGCAATCGAAGGAGCATTGGCTAATACAAAGTTAGAAAAGAGCCAAGTTGAGGAGGTTTACATGGGGAATGTGCTTAGTGCATCTCTTGGACAAGCTCCAACAACCCAAGCAGCTCTTGGAGCAGGATTATCAAAAGATACTATCTGTACAACAGTCAACAAAGGATGAGCTTCTGGTATGAAAGCAACTATTTTAGCTACTCAAGCTATTAGAAGTGGCCAAAGAAAGATTGTTGTTGCTGGGGGAATGGAGAGTATGACTGGAGCTCCTCATTACATCAATATTCGTGAGCCAGTCAATATTAATAATCCAAACATGAAATATTTAGATTCTATTCTACTTGATGGGTACACTGAAATGACAGAGAATGCTAGAAACATTCATTTGGGAAAACTTGCTGAGAAGACTATAGCTGAACTAGAAATCAAAAGAGAAGTCTTGGATAGCTGGACAAAGATTTCATACCAAAGAGCTCGAGCAGCACAAGCAAACAAATTTTTTGATTGGGAAATTGTTGATATAATGCAGGCCACTCCAAGAGGAAGGATTAGGATCAACCAAGATGAAGAATGAAAAAGATATTTACCCCAGTCTTTGCCAGTATTATTACCGATTTACTCTAAAAATGGATGATTAACAGCAGCCAGTTCTGGCAAATTGAATGATGGAGCTTCAGCAATGATACTTATGGAGGAAGAGAGTGCAAGAGAAATTGGGATGAAACCTCTTGCTAGGATTAAAGCTTATGAAGACTCAGCTTTAGACCCAACAGAATTTACTATTGCAAATTCAAAAGTTACTTCTCAAATTCTACGGAAAGCTGGAATGAATTCAAATGATATTGACTTTTATGAAATCCATGAAAACTTTGCCTCAGTTCCAATGGTTAACATGGAAGTTCTTGGATTAGACCCTGATATAGTCAATGTTAATGGAGGGGCATTAGCTCTTGGCCATCCACTGGGAGCAAGTGGAAATCGAATTATCATCTCATTACTCAATATTCTGAGACAAAAAGGAGGAACAATAGGTCTAGCATCTGTTTCCCATGGAGGAGGTGGAGCATCAGCAGTCATGATAGAAAGATTAAATTAGAGTTCCAATCTTAAGAAATCAAGGGGTTTTGGGGTTTTGGGGTTTTGGGGTTTTGGGGTTTTGGGGTTTTG